TGGAAAAATCACCATATGCAATTTTATTTTTGTTTAGAGGTTGGCAAGAAAAAGTATGCAAAAAAAGGTATTGCAGAGGTCATATTGCGTGTAGTGTTACGTAGTATAGAACGGAACGGAAATGTGATCTCTGCGCCGGAGATTGTTCGTTACACTCATATGAGACAAGCACGCGAGTTCCTATAGTGTGTTTTAATCAGATTGGATGCAGTTGAGCCTTTTGTACTGTATTTCTATCTGTTGAATATGTTATTTTGTAGTTGACAATTGAAAACCTCTAATTTTAGAGGATATACGTGTATGCATGTAGTGTGATTTATTTGTTATTTTATTCTATTTAGAGTTTTTTTTATCAATTCTAATCCGAAGAAAAAATTTTTTCTTCAAAATTTGATGTTTTTTTTTACCTTGAATAATGCCCAGGATAAGTTGTTAAAAATAAAAAAAACTTAAAGAATAATTTTACATATCCTCCTTCACTTCTTAAGTTCCATTTCCAAATATTTTGTTGGCAGAATCTTGTATTAAGACAGACACACTTAATATGGAAAATAAGTAAAGGATCAGATACATGTAGAAGAGAAGTGTGTATTTAATCATTTTAACGGTGTCTTTTTTTTATTTCATAACTTTGTAATATTAGAGTAGGAATGCAGACAGTTTGCCAGTTCAGAATACGACAATTTGTTCTACAGGATTGTTTTCAAAATAGGTTATTGTTTTCCTAGCGATTAAGTCAAAGTTTGTCTATATATGTAATAATGCCTATTACTTTTGGATGAAGGCAGAATTAATGGCAAAATTTTCCTTGTTTTAATTAATGTCTCACCCCGTGAAATGCAAAAATCTGTAGCCCCGTGCGAAACATTACATTTTTATGAAAAATTAACTTTAAAATAACGAAATATTGATTAGGATAAAGCATTAGATTTGATTCTATGATATAAAATCATGTTTATACAAAAATGTACGGAAATAGGTCGTAGTTTTTATCCAGAAATAAGCATTTAAAGTCTAAAAATCAGCGGAAATTTGAGGAGGGTGTTTTAGAAAACATAGAACTGTGAACAGCTACTTCTGCTTCCTGGAATAGGTCAGATCATTCAATCTTTTCTAAGCAAGTTCGCATCATAGATAATAAAACTCCTAAGGACTAACAATCTCCATCTTGCAACACCTCTCTACAGAAGACTATTGGAATCGAGGATTGGAAAATGCAATACCATATAGTTGCAATGACAGAATTGATGGTATAGGTATTCTATCTAGTCCTCCCTTTAGCTCGGTGAATGTGATGAACATTTTCAACTCTACTCCTCGACGTAGACGCAGTCATGGTCATCGTCATTATACATCACCTACTCTCAATGATGCCTCTATTTGTTGCCTTGTACAATTTTTATAAAAGCCCTTGCGTATTCAACACGTTCGCACAAAGATTTATTCACTTATCCTTTAAAAACTTCATTATCTGTACAACTTATGTTTGGAAACCACTCTTACAAACCCCCCATTCAAACCAATACAAACTTACTGCTATCATCTCGGATACTTCCAGTCACTGACTTTCAGACCAGTTTGCATTGAAAAAAAAAGTAAAATAACAAAAATACCGAACTCCGAGGAAAATTCTAAACGGAAAGTCCCTAAGCAAATGGAAAAATTAAAAACCAAACACATCAAACGAATGGATAACAACTGTCATATTCCTGACTTGGTATAGGCATTTTCTTGTGTAGAAAATGGTGAATTAAACCTAGTCTTATAGCTAGCTAAACCTCTCACTTGTATGACAGTTGCATAAAATTCCATTATATTGACAAGGATGTGTGAACAAAACAAACAGACATAATAGGTTAAAAAGAGATGAAAAGGTGAACATCTGATTTCCATTTCTTTCCTTTGCCAATATAGTTTTCGATGCCATCAACTTGGGCGATATTTCTTCATCATAAATCAGTTCACTCGAAAACACCTCTCTACTTTAAAGATCAGTCTGTACCTAACATTTCTTATACCTATACCAAACCAATTGCAATCGAGGTCGTTGATACAAATCAGAATTAAAAAAGCTGACTGGGTCTATGAATACACCTGCTACATCAAACCTTTAAAGAACCAAATGTTGAAAAGCACCTGTCCTACCTCCATGACAAATCACGTGTTCTCCACGCAGATAAAGCCTCAAACAACATCTTTCTTGTGTGTAAACCACAGTACATAAACGGCTTGATAAATGAATTAGGTATTGACAATTCCCTTGGAAACTCAACATATACCCCAATGAAACTTACCAGGAGGAAATTCTGGATAATCTAAGGTCTGGTCTATGTTCCTTTGGAATTTAAACAAAAGATGAAGAACTGGACCTCCCTTCACTGTTTTAGATACCTAAATTACAAAGTTGGCGGCGTGAATCAGATGTGGACACTACAACATTCCAACGATACGTTATATTACATACAATCTAAGTCTCTTTCATTTTGCAATAGTATTAAAACATATGACTTTCCTACCCTTTACACAAGTATCTCCCATTCCAAAATAAAAGACAAATTGAAAGAGTTGGTCCTGCTTTGTTTCATAAAACAGAATGGCTTACGTAGATACAAGTGTCTTGTCTTAGGAAGGAACGAATCGTACTTTGAAAAAAATCACTCTGATTCAAACACAAAATATTTCTGAAACTGACATTATCAAGATGCTTGATATTTTGACTGAAAACATATTTGCTACGTTTAGAGGACGTGTTTTTCTGTAACAATCGGTATTCCCATGGGAACCAATTGTGATCCTCTTCTTGCCGACTTGTTCCTTTATTCATATGAGGCTGGCTTCTTTAAGGTGACTATGGTGAATGCATGTATCCCATCAAACTTGAAATAAAGGATGCAGCAGATTCAGTAAACTGTGCCTCACATCTCGACTTACACTTAGAAATTGATAATGAGGATCGGGTTGAGAACAAAACTTAACGACAAAAAATATGATTGCAGCTTCCCAAATGTGATTTTTCCATTTCTGTGTAGGAACATTCCAAGGCTTATGAAAATTAGAAGATGTGGTATAATAGCCAATCAGGCAACCAGAGACCAAATGACATAGAAGTTAACAACTATAGATCGCCATACGGCCTTCAACAATGAGCAAAACCAATACCACATAGTCAGCTATAAAACACCAGAAATGAAAAATGTAAAACAATTTAAACGAGAAAAATAACGGCTCGATTTATGTAAAAAAAAAAACAATGAACGAAATACAAAAATGAAATATAGCGACAAGCGACAACCACTGAATTACAGGCTCTTGACTTGAGACAGACACATAAAGAATGTGGCGGGGTTAAACATGTTAGCGGGCGCGAAACCATCCCCTAACCTGGGACAGTGGTGTAACAGTACAGCAGAAGAACAAACTATATAAATCAGTTGATTAGGGCATAAAACATCAGATCGATTCAACGTAGAAAAACAAGTAACAAAGACAGACCGGACGTTGCAGGGTATTTATACATCCCTCCAAATAAAAAGAAGACATTTGTAATTCCTTGATAGAGAGTTGATGCTCAGAAGGAAGCTATACAACCAAGATTTCTAAGTGGTGAAGTTGAAATTGTCCCTTCGAACATTTTACGAATGCAATCATGAATTTGTTGACTGATATGGAATATCTGTTTCACAAATTAGGACAGATATGTTCAAATAATAGTAAACACAATCCCGTCCTCCTTTTCATGAATTGATCCGAGTCAGACTTATCACCGGGTTTGTACTAACAAAAGCAAAACGAAGGGTGCCACATGTGGAGCAGGATCTACTTATCCTTCCGGAGCCTCTGAGATCAACCTCGGTTTTGTGGTTAATGTTGCTCAGTCTTAAGTTTTTATGTTGTGTTTTCGTATACTGTTGTGTGTCATTTTGTCTTTTTTCGTTTTTAGCCATGTCGTTGTCAGTTTATTTTCGACTTTATATTACCGGTGTTTCCTATACCAGTTTGTTCAAATTCTACCAGAAGATCGTGGTCGAACATTTTTTACAGATGAGTGGACATTATACCTCCCTGTCAAGTCATTATAAATTTGTATTAGGACCTTCCAATACAGTAGATGTAATTCTTGGTTCAACATTTTGTCCATCAGAATATAATGTTGGACTACGTCAAATGAAGATGCTCTTCAACTTTATACTTGTTTGGCTTTTTAACTATTTTGATCTGAGCGTCACTGATGAGTCTTATGTAGACGAAACGTGCGTCTGGCGTATTAAATTATAAGCCTGGTACCTTTGATTACTATTAACGTACCGAATGTTTAAATAAAATATTTTGCTTCCTTTTTCATCCTCATATCTTGCCTCTGATTTAACTTGCCATTATTGGAGACAGACCTTTTGTAAAGCTAAACTGTCTATTTTTTTTATTATATTTTAAGCTTTTTATATTATTGAGTACTCAAAATTTTTTTCAGTAACTGGTGTCATTGTGATACCTCTATAATTAGTTAACTCAGCTGGATATTTATCTTTTTAGCACTTGAGTGATCATACATGATTTGAATGAGGTTGGAACCTATTGCTCTTGCTATGAACTGGTTCATTGTTTGTTGATGTTGCTGGTTGTTATTTCTTTCGTCATTTATCTTTGAATGCAGTTGGTGAATATTAGCATTTTGATTTTACCAATAAGAAATAATCTTTTTTATTCGACCATAGAAATAGAATGGTACGTCTTTAATTCAATAATTAGAACAAGATGATTGCAAATAAAAAAGGTAAACAGCCTCGAACAACGACTGTAACAACAGTAAATGAGTAAAAAATTTATATTTTGTATTTTTTTTTAAAATTAAAACATTTCCTCTGATACATGTTATCTTGATTTTCTCTGATACATGTTTACTGTAAATCTTCAGATCTTTCAAGTTTGTAGAATGTAAGTATACAGAATAAACTAATTATACAGGTATTAAAGTTATATTTGCATTTCATTTTAAAGGAGATGTGACATGATTTTTTTATTTTTTTTTTATTTTCCATAAATGTTTATTTATACATAAATACCCCAAAAAAAACACCGATAGCAATATAAGTATCGTTTAAATGGATAAAATATGAATTTAAATGTATCGATCTGTCGACCTACTAATTATGCATATTTCAATCCCGGAAGTCACTCAGAACGAGGCTGTGACGTCAGTGGTTTCATCAGTCATATTTGACAGACGGGTGTAAAGGCATAATTAGCGCAATTTCGTTTTCGAATATCTTCCAAAAAAACGCATGACAGTGATTAAAAATGGTTATGTGTGCTGCGAGCGGATGCAATAATAGACATAAGAAGGACGGTTTAATTAGTTTTTTCCGTTTTCCAAGTAACCCGCAGACCAGGAAGGCGTGGACACACTATTGTAAGAGATGGGGCTTCCTACCAAGCACTAGTCATAGATTTTGTTCCGCCCACTTTACAAATGCATGTTACGATCGTGACCCAGAAGTGATGAAAAATCTCGAGGGCTGTCCTACCATGAAGCCAAAACTCCTTCCAAATGCGATACCTGACATTCCATTTACACAACAAACAACAGCTGAGCCCAGGCCACCTATACTTAAGCGGGGAGCTTATGAGAAACGGAGAAAGGCTGAGGTAAATATTTTTTTTATCTTCGCAAATATTTTTTTTGTGTCCCTTTTAATATTATTTTTTTATAGTTTAGTCACAGTTGTGTATACTGTGGATTCATTTTTATTCGTGGTATACCAATTTTCGTGGGTTTCGTGGGTCACAGTGAACCACGAATTTAAGAATTCAACGAAGAATAATCCCGAAAAATGTGTTTGGAGTCGGATGTTTATTTCCGGTTATGTTATGCAGTTATCGTATAGTGTTGACTAGCGATAAACTTTGCAACATAACACGTGTTTCTATTGAAAGAAGATAAAAGTATTTTGATTAAATCAATAATAAAAAAAATGGAATATTAGTGATAAACTACTTTTTAAATATGATTAAAACTGTTCATGGAAAATAACTGTAAGTTGTTAATTACCGTGTCATAGTTTGGATTACTGGTGATTAAAAATCAATAGGATTAAGTATGGGGATATTGCCCGTAGGTAATATTGTTTATGACAGGAACATTTATTTTCACACCTTTTACTTATATGACTGTTTATTATACCGTGATTAGGGAAATAAGCTTTCAATCATATATCAATCATAGAGATTTGAATGCCTCATAAAATTACCGACAAAAATTTATAAATTATAAAACAAACATATAATTATTTGTCTCTGTCCACGATTTTAATCGAAGTTTTCAATGAACACTTTAACCTAGAATGACCAAGCGATGATTTTGATAATTTAAACTTTTTCAATGAATTCCTTCTTTTTTGTTTTATTATTGACCAAACCAAGGAGGTTATATGACATCCTAAATCAAACAGAAATTCACGAATTACGTATCTGAATTTATCTTTTTTTTCAATCAGCGATCCACGAATTTACGTTTACCACGAAACGTCTTTTTTTCTCTATCCACGAAAATTGATACCCACGAAAATAAATGAATCCACAGTAATTGCATAGCCAAATACATCTCAGTGTTTAAAATTTGGTATTGTGTACCTGTTCACGTGTGCAGGTGTGTACACTGAAATTGGACATAAATAAAAGTCATAAACATCGATCAGAAGTTACAGGTGGCACACTTTCTCCGCAATGCTGGGTTACCTTTGAAGTTGAAAGCTACAGGTGTCATGCCCCAGGTGGTGATAGATAAGACATAGGTAATAAGCAATATTGCGTAACATGCGTCGAATCTGTGTACATCCATGATCACCTGCTGGGTGCACAGGTGAGGTTGGAAAATAGACTGTAGTTATTGTTACAGACACAAGTTACGTAATGCATATCTGTTTTACCTGTTTGAATACGCTATACCTTACTATCGGATATGGGGTTTACAGAATAGAGAAAAAAGGACTGACAGTGCAGAATGAAAAAGGGAAGGATAGAAAATAATGGGTTGCTGAAATTTACTTTGTAAAGAATGGAGTATAATGGGCAAAATAGATAAAGAATAGAGAAGAAATGGTTTTAAAGTAAAAAATTAAGAATAAAGCCTGGCAAATTAAAAATTCAAACACATGTCAGTCCTCATAACTAATACATAACCTGTAGTGGGTACATAGATTTCTTTCTGTGTTTTCTAATAAAAATTAAGCAGGAAAATAAAAGGTGTATTGCAATAAGTTTTTACTATTTACCCTTATTATTTTTTTTATTTATGGAAAATCATTTTATTTCTTTATAAAAGAAATTGTGAAGAGATGCCAAGTCATACAATCAAAATGATAGACCATTGATGCAAGTTATTGTAGTGAAACATGCAAAAGGTGAATTGAATGAGAAACAAATATGTTGGCTAGTGTATGTATGCAAGTCTTTATATCGCATAAGACATGAAGCTGAATAATATAGTTTTAACTTAAATAATGTAAATAAATCCAATTGATACAGACCCAGTGGCGGATCCAGGGGGGGGGGGGGGGGAGTTCCGGGGGTTGGAACCCCTCCTTTTTTTTGATGATCAATGCATTTGAATGGGGACATATAGTTGGAACCCCCCTTTTAAAAATGGCTGGATCCGCCCCTGCAGACCTGGGAGTAGTAGATAAATGTATAAGTACTACAGACTGAGGATATGCACATTATAAAACAGGGAAAAAATTATCCCCCCCAAAAAAAATTAGTACTCATAGAACATTTTCAATGATGATTATGGAGGAGACAAAGACATATGAATATATTTTATTGTTTTAAAACTTCTTTAAATATTACTTTTAGTACTTCCCCTGTTATGTCATACTCATTACACATTTATTGGGGGCTGTTTCAGTAATTCAAATTTCACACCCAACATACTTTGCTAGGTGATAGGTAATTTATTACCTGTCTTTTTGTTTTATTTAATTCAATTCAATTACCTGTTAAACTCAAACATTTTTATGAAATATATCTTGATTTATGGTGAAATAATTGATATAGTAATTATATATTTCTACACAGATCTCTATATATGCATTCTAAATTTTATATTGTGTATTAAATTTCATATTGTGTTTATACTTGTATGTATGTAGTGAGACTATAATAAACTATTGAACTTGAACTCTACATTTAGCAATAACTAATTTATATTATTAAATTAATATCTAAGAATCAATTTATTAATCGTAAATTTGATTGCTAATCAGACAAATATCCACCAAAGCTCAAATAAAATGGATTTAAGAAGTTAGGTATATTTCTCCATGTTTTTAATTCCATTATAGTTGTTCAGAAATGCAATTGACCATTATTAACCATTGTGGGATCCAAGATCTTCACTTGTATATATATGTCTTAATTGTCACAGTAAAGTTGTGAAAAACTAAATTAACAGCGAACATTTATCCTTTGCAGATCCTACAGCTTGCATATGACAACTATGAACGAGACACGGAATGTGTAGAACTACAAGTACCAGACAGTACCACAGAACCAGAACATTTCTCCATGTTTTTAATTCCATTATAATTGTTCAGAAATGCAATTGACCATTATTGACCATTGTGGGATCCAAGATGTTCACTTGTATCTATATGTCTTAATTGTCACAGTAAAGTTGTGAAAAACTAAATTAACAGCGAACATTTATCCTTTGCAGATCCTACAGCTTGCATATGACAACTATGAACGAGACACGGAATGTGTAGAACTACAAGTACCAGACAGTACCACAGAACCAGAACCCAAACTGCCAACCTCCAATACATCCAAAGTTACCATGGTTACACAGACAACTCCACCAACATCTCCAAAGTCAGTAAAACACAAGAAAAGCCAATCCCACCTCCGTCCACAACAACGTACCAGGAAACATCAAACAGATCTTAAAATTACACAACCTTCAGCAACATACAGTACAATTGCTACTCAGACTGATGATGACATTACAAAATGTACATGTACCAGTATTGTAACTACAACAACTAACATTAATTCAGCCCAAAACTCTGACGACGATGAGGTTTCCAGCCATGCAGATAGTGATGAGGACTACCAACCCTCAGATGATGACCAGAGGTATGTACAATTGTAATAAATGTACCACAAAAAACATTTTTGTAGTTATGGGGGTATAACACAATAACATGATCAGCTGAAAAATAGCATATATATATATATCAATTGATCAAACCGGTTTTAGGAACAGGCTCTTCAATCAGGTTGATGTCTCTTTGAAACATTCCCCGGTTCCATTCGCAATTTTTAAATTTATATTCTTAAGTAAAGATGTACCTATGTTTTTAAAAAATTAACCTGGAAAAACACAATATGAATAAAAGGACAAGAAATAGTAAATTTGGTATATTAAATTTTTAAATTGTTTTCTTTCAAAGACTTTTGTGAGGCTTATTATTTCATTTTATTATTAAAATGTTTAAAAGTGTTTCATTTTCTTTCTGATTTTTAGATATGTTTTTTTCTGGATTAACATATGTCAAGTATCAATTCCTGCTATACATGCTATATGCACCAAACAAAAAGGAAATTTTGCTACATTTTGCATGTAGGTTGAAATTTAACATGTGTAATGATCATGTATGTGCATTTGCCATTGCATAGCATATTGAAACAATTCATTAAGTTTACAAAAAAATGTATACAATTTTCATCTAAAAATATGGTCTGAGGACCATCCAGTCTGTAAATATTCGATGGAATTCATATTAATATCACATGCAATGTAATACTACATTCTTTTTCAGTTCTGATGATAACAGCGATGAAAAGATGACCACATGAACTACCGTCTTAATGCAAAAGCAACCCCTGAAGAACAGAAGCAGTTCCTTGTAAGCGAGTCAGCCCTAGCAGAGTTATTGTCTGTGTGCAGATATTGCAGTAGTGAAGCTGTTCCTGTGATACAAGTATCCAGAGGTACCCTAATTGTGACAAACTCTGTGTGTGTAAATGGACATTTGTCGATCTGGAAAAGCCAATCCATCCACAACAGCCTACCATGGAGCAACCTAATGACAGCCACAGCCATTATGTTAAGTGGGTGCAACGCCACATCAGTTCTCAGGATGTTTGACCACCTCAATGTCCAGATGTTTTCAATGAGGACTTATAACAGACTGCAGTCTTTATATGTTTCACCAGCAGCTACCATGGCCTGGGATGCCGAACAATCCAGTTTGCTAGACCAATTGAGAGGGACTGACGTAATATTAGGAGGTGATGCAAGGTGTGATTCCCCAGGTTATTCTGCTAAATATGGATCATACACCCTAATGAATCTACAAACAAAGAAAATCCTTGACTTCCAATTGATACAGGTAAGGTTTAAAAAATAAGCTTTGATCATTAAAATGTGTACAGTATAAAAATTAACATAAATCTTGTAAAAATAAGAATATGTTGAATAATTGCCAATGAGACAACTCTAAACCAGAGAACAAATGAAATGGAGTAAACTGCTATAAGTCACTGTACAGTCTTCAACAATGAGCAATACCCATACTGCTTAGTCAACAATGAAGGAAAAGATACTATGAAGTATACACTAGAAGACAACAACGAAATCAAATAAATTTAGGTTCGTATTTTGATTATATAAATTTCTAGATGCTCTTATATATATATAATTAAAACGTTATGTCTATTTGAGATGCCATATATTTTATTTTGTTTTGTAGAGCAACGAGGTGAAAGGTTCAACTCACATGGAACTAGAGGGCCTGAAGCGTGCTCTGGGATTTCTAAAAGACTACGTAAATATTAAAGAAGTTGTGACAGACACATTATATATTATATATAACTTTTACATATGATTTATATTGCTGAGTTTGCAGTCTTTGATCATGTTGATTTTTGTGAAGGAATGCAAACCTTGATTTTTGTTGAGCATTGAAAAACAAAAACTTTTATAAGGTACACCTTTATTATTTTACTTCTTCTCTAAAACAGGATCTACTGTGCAAAGACAAAAAGTCCATATTTTTATTAATACAAGTGTTTCATTCATATAGTTGCCAAAAAAGTAATCAGTCCAAACTTAATTTATACAACTGCATATTTGATGTCACAGTATTCTTCAGATTGGAAACTGTCCCTAATCAATCAAAAAAGACATGAAGATCAGCCAGGGCGACAAAAACATCTTTTTGACGTATGGCATGTAGCTAATGGTAATTAAAATTATATATATAAAAATCATTACAAACTGAGGTTTTATCCATCAGAACCTTGTGTTAAATTTTCAAATAAAATAGACAAATAAAGCTAATGCAAGATATAATATACCAATAGCACAGAAAAACAATGATGACAGTTGACCCATATTATAAAACAATCCCAATTTCTGCGTTCATAAAAAGATTATGACCTTTAAATTTGGTATTGGTGGCCTCGGCTGTTTTCTGCTCTTTGGTCATGTTGTTGTTTTTTTGACATATTCCCCATTTCCATTCTCAATTTTATTGACTTATGTTATTAATATATATGAAAAATTATGCCATGTTCTATTATTATATATTTTCACAGTAGCATGCATAATTATAAAAAAGATGTGGTATGATTGCCAATGATACAACTCTCCACAAGAGACTAAATGACACAAAATTAACAACTTTAGGTCACAGTATGGCCTTCAACAATAAGCAAAGCCCATACCTGTATAGTCAGTTTCAACAGAAGGTCCATAGTTATCAAAAGCATATCTGATGAATACAAAGCCTTGTATTGTCACACACAAATAATTCATTTATTATTGTGAGAGCCTATTGTTAATTGTTAATGTTTATGTTGTCATTTTGGACATAGTTTTGATTTTTTCTTTCTTATTTCAAATTACAGGAGTATCAAAGAAGTTAGAGGCAGCAGCAAAAAAGAGTGGTGGCAAAGACATCCGTCCACGGATTAAATCCATTGTAAACCACATCTAATTGATTTCCTCTTCTTGTGGATCGGATGGTGATTTGAAAGCAGCTAAGTGGTTATCCATTATGAACCACAAGTGCAACAGACATGAAGGGCACTCCAGCATCTACCCGAAGTGTGACCATGGGGAATTATCGCAAGACCGTCAATGGCTTGAAGAAGGTATTTATTAAATGTACCTGGTATATATTATTTGTTTAAAACGAAAAAAAATATTATTTTAGGTTCTGTGCCATATAAGAGAATGAAAGCTGTCATTGAGAGCAAGTTCCTTCTTACAGATGTGCCAAAGTTATCCCCAGTATACCAGACCTATGCCTTGGAGGTTTTCCATTCAATGGTGAACAACTTTGCACCAAAGAGCACGCACTTCTTCTATTCATCTATGCTTGCATGGTAAATATTTGATTTTATTTGTTGTTTGTAATTTATATTTTATTAATTTTTAACCTTACTAAACTTATTTTTATTTTGAACATCTCTAATAAATGTTGTAAATCAATTTCAGGTTGTGTGTTGCCGCATTACAATACAACGAGAACTGCAACAGAGATAGAGCTTTTACAAAAGATGGTGTGCAATGCTTCAGCATGGTTTATCCCAGAGCAAAGAAAGGCAAAGAAGCTGTAGTTAAATCCAGACATTCACCAGCTACATATGGTATGTATTAAAATCATAGTTGTAGTTATGAAAAACAAAATAAGGAGATGTGGTATGATTGCAAATAAGACAACTATCCACCAAAATTGATATGAAGTGAAGGTAAGCAATTACAGAAAAACCTACGGGCTTCAACAATGAGGAAAACAATACTGAATGATCAGCTTAAAAAGGCCCTGACATCAAAAATATGAATCAATTTAATTGAGAAACTATTGGCCTAATTTTAAACAAGATAATTTACATAAAACAATTTAACAGACATATTGTATGGTATGCAACAAAGAGCTAACATATTTTTTTACCAAGTGATCACAGCTCGCACATGCTTTGCTATATTAAAACACTCAATGCATCATTTCATTTTTATTGAGTAAAAATTAAGAATAACAATGTAAAACTTGAAAATAATATTGACTAATTTTTTGTAGATTATGTTTTACTGATCAAGCAAGCTGTTGTTTCTAGAAGGGAACATGATTGCTCTTCATATTCAAATGCTGCAGGTGATGTACAGATTCTTCAAAACCACTTTCCGGTCAGTTTAACGCAGACATTCGAGCCATTCCAAAAGGCAGACCTCATTGCAAGACACAGGTCCAGATTTTAGCGATAAGAGCAAAATTATTGAGAACAGTTAAATGTTGTAGTCACATTGAAAATTGTTAAGGAAATCTATAATCAAGGGGGTGGGGGTGGGGGGTTAACATAATTTTGTCATCCTAGTCTAATGATAAATCAAAATAAAATTCCATTTGACAAGTAGTTAGATTGTTCAACAGGAAGAATGTCAAAACCAGTGTACTGATTTTGTATTATATGCAGTGGATGTTCACCGTAAACTTTTACATGTGATTTATATAGATGAGTTTGCAGGCTTTGATCATGTTGATTTTTGTGAAGGAATGCCAACCTTGATTTTTTTTTAGCATTGAAAAACAAAAACTTTTATAAGGTACACCTTTATTATTTTACTTCTTCTCTAAAACATGATCTACTGTGCAAAGACAAAAAGTCCATATTTTTATTAATACAAGTGTTTCATTCATATAGTTACCAAAAAAGTAATCAGTCCAAACTTAATTTATACAACTGCATATTTGATGTCACAGTATTCTTCAGATTGGAAACTGTCCCTAATTTTTTTCACAACACATGCAGGCAAGATCTTCCTGTTATGACGTCCCAGACGATGCCATATCCACTAAACAAATCTTCTGTATGCCATAAACCTATATTTCCTACAAAACAAAACATCAATTATGTTCATATACAACTTTCAGTACCTTACTTTTAACTGATGTGTGAATATATTCATCAAGCATACAATGTAAGTTAAGAAAAATTTCTTATTAACAAATAATCTTTTTTTCATTTTTCGAAAGACCAAAACATTTTAATTCCATTGTACCTTTTGTCATTTTGTATTGTATTAAGGTTAAAAAGATATATTTAGGATTGATACATACTACCTAAGGTGTACTGCCATGTATATATTTTCTAACTTTGTATATTATTATAATGACATGAAAGAACTAGGGCCTTTCTACATGTTCTATATGCTGTGAAATATATTATATATAAATATATTGTATCTGTGATATTTGAATGATGAGTTAATCTGTGATATTAAATTATTATTTAGTTCATATGTTATTTTCTTTATTAAATTGTACTTACTCTACGTACAATTAAAAATGTTGAAGTCACTATTGTCTCGAAAACAGTGAATGATCATGATAATCATGGAATCAATAAAACAATAATTGATTTGAAATTGGTACAACATGAACCAAACATACTACTATCATGACTAATTTCAAAACTGACTCATTGATGGGTTCATTGTCGTCAAAGGGACCAACATGCTTCATGTATGCATACATGCTGACTTGCAACACATGGCGGTTTAAGTAGTTTGCAATAAAGATCTTATTCTCTGTAATGCAGTTTAAGTCATCTGGTTGCATTAAATAGCTTACAGCTGATATGTCTGAACAGCATACACATTCATCTGCTGTTGCCATGGAATGGCAGTTTCCACAATCGAACCTATAACATGGAAAGAAAAAAACTTATTTAAATGAAACCAACAGTATACAAAACACAACATAGAAAATGTTAAAACACAGGAGTAGGTTTCACAAATAAACTTTTGGCCAAGGTTGATCATAAGTATGCTGAACTGTTCATGACTTACGAACAATTCAGTAGCAAGTTTTTTTGTGAAACAGACTCCTGATCTCTGGCATAAAAAAACTTTTTCAGTTTGTGTACCCATTGTATATACATGTTTTGGGAAAACTGCAGTACCGAATTAAATGTGGAGGTATATATATCTAGAATAAGATATCAATATATCATATAAACGTGGTGATGTCTAATGCATATATACATTGGTATTTTATGCTGATCAAATCTAATAATGCACTTTTTAACAAGCCTTAGTAAAATTAAAATATGAACTTTGTTTTTATTTTACTATAAGACTTCTTCAGGTGTTTTGTTTATACAATATAACATGGACAATATTTTCTTCCCACTGCCCATTTATAATTATTGACCGTTCGTAATCTTCAATATAAATGAAGCTGTAACTGTATATCAGAAGAAGAAAAACATCTATGTATATCTAGTGCCTGTGCTAGTAGTAGTACGTTACTGTTCCAGGGTAGAGGGAAACAAAACTATTTTCGGTGGATAAATTAATCGTAAAAAATCAGAAATTTATATTTTCCTAATTGTTATACATGCATCTGCCAAAAATAAACCACTGAAAGCGTTGGGTATCAAATATATTAATCATACGAACCAATTTGTGTTTACAAGGCGATCGGCATTGCTTGAAAGATCGTCAATATCGGACTCTTCGGATGACGAATTTATATCTTCTACTTGATCATTTTCTTCAAGTAACGGCTCAAACTGATAAGGTCGAATATCCAAAGTTTGAGAGTTGCCTTGAAAACTGATGTCAACACCGTCCATTGTTTAATGATGTGTGTAACGTCTCCTTTAAATCTTCAATATCTAAGTACAATTCGTATTGTTGAAAACTTAAATGTATGTTTTTTAGGGTGTCATTTACAGGTGATGTCAATATATTATTTTTACATTTCTAGGTAAATGTCTAGAAAAGTAACATTTAAAGTCGACATTTAAGAGTTTAGAATAAATTACCAAACCTTTTTTTGTGTATTACCAGTAGATCGGTGCCTTAAGTTGAGACCCATAGTCCTTTAAACTTGGTAATTTTATTTACTGTGACTTGACTGTTAGTGTTTCTCTCAACCTATTGCAATTTATTCAAAATTCTGACCAAATTGCAATTTGTTTTATAAAACCAAACTGTTCAACTGGTCAGAAATTTGAACAAACTGCTGTAGAAAACCACAGTCAAGTCGTGAAAGTGCAAGGTGATAAAATAAAGCATACTTACAATCCAATAAGACTTTAATTCCACTTCAATGTTATTATAAAAAATCAGTATAACAGTTTGTATAGAAATTTTATTGTTATTGTCATGCTAAAGGTGATAGGTAGTAATTTTGAATTGCTATAAAAATGTCGTAACTAAGCTTTCATACAATTTTTCTTTCGAAAAGTCTACTATATTCATAAGAATCAAACATCATTTGAATTAAAACATCTTACATTCAGTAAAATATATGTGAAATTACATAACGTTGTTTATACGTTTACATGGGAGATAACCTAAAACATTATTCTTTAGACTTTAGAAGACTTTTCGAAAGAAAAATTGATTATCTCCCATGGAAACTTCCTGACAACGTATTGTAATTTCACACATATTTACTGAATATAAAATGTTTTAATTCAAATGATGTCTGATTCTTATGAATATAGAAGACTTTTCGAAAGAAAAATTGTATGAAAGCTTAGTTTGGACATTTTTAACTATTGTTAATGTTGTATCTTTCAGTTGTAAACATAGTATAAATTATTGTTGAGACAGTCTTGTTTATGTAGTAGTCTGTTTAATACTGAATATATAACACTTTTGCCTGGTGCTTCACTTATAAATTATGTTAAATTGATACTTTGGTTGAAAATTTATTGGTTACTTTTGCCCTATAAAATTGATGCAGAAAATCATTTTGCATGCTATAAATAGGTTTTTCATTGAAAACAAGTCACGATTGTTTTTACAACCCTTCAACGACTAACTAAATGTGTTTGTACATTTATTTTAAAATGTAACTAATAATTAAGAATATATTGGTCTCCTTACTCTCATATACATTTTAATTGTCATTCCATTGACGTTGGACCTTGTTTGACAATTCTTTTATATAGTTGAAAGTTGCTGATAATGGCAGCATTAAACAATAGGTGTTAGTTTTAAGGAATGCCAACTTATGTTTACATTCTATGGACGAATTGTACTATAGATTACTTATTTTCGCGGATACTTTATTTCGCGTTAAGTCCTTTCATGCCCATTTCGCGGCGATTTAATTTCGCGATTTTTGTGCTTCCTTTGTAGTTATAACTATGCAACACAGTTTTATATTCAATGTTTATCGTACTTTGTTGTATAATGTAGCATTTATCCTCTAAATAAAGAAATTGTGTAAATGTATTTCTTCTTTTGTTCTTTTTTCCTTATGACAGTTCATAAAAAAATCAGTTTTTGCCAAAGAAATTCAAGACCGTTTTAAAAATGTTTTGGATTGAAATACCTTGACATCATTGCATGACTCTTTCAGTCAAATCTGACCCTTGATGTATTTGTATATTTTTTAGCCCTTTGGTCAAATAGTTTTTAATGTGTTCAAGTACTTACAAGTTTCTGAATTTGAGCATTCCTGATGAAGTTTAATTCAATTAAAATAATGAAACCAATCAGATTAATAAAGTGTTATTTTCATTTTGAAGCTATATATAGAAAGTTGTGGGTTTAATTTTGCATCGATCATGGTAGATAGATACTCATATTTAAATTTGAAAGCTTACACATTTATTTTATGGAGATTTAAATATGTACGAATTCAAATGATAATTTTAAAAGTTGGGTTACACATCTCTTGTTTTCCCTTTTTAAGTTCATATTGAGAGCTTTTCTCATCACTTGTCGACCATCATCTGTTGTCTTCGTTATTCAAGTTGTACAAAAAATTTCTTCTCTAAAACTCCTGGGCCAATTAGAACCAAACTTGGCAACAATCATTCATGGGGAATCTAATTTAACAATTTTGTCCAACCACTCCATCTGCCAAAAACATGCCAGACAAGTCTAAAAATAGAAACGGTTAAATGGAAGTTTTGTCGACAATTATCTTGAAAACTGCTTTAGATAGAGAAAATCTGACAAGGGCAGACTTTTTCTGAATGTTGAATTCTGTATCAGAACTGTCAGACGCCTCCATATGGGAGTTGTTGCCCTTAAATGATGAACTTTACCATTTGTTATATTGCCTGTTACATTGAAAACTATAATAAATAAAGAGAAACTTTAAAACTAAAATGATCAGCAAGACAAGATCTACAAGTAAGTTGACAAAATTCAGTTGACTCCTTATAGGGATTATGGCCCTTACATGACGATTTGTACCAATTTTATGTGTTTATGCCTATAAATTTCAAATTGTGATTCATAGATAGAAACTTTGAATAGCAAAAACTATCAGCAAAACCGGATCTACAAATAAGTCAATGTGGTCTAAATCGTCAGTCAACTCCTTCTAAGAGTTATTGCCCTTACATGATGATTTTTACCATGATTTTGCACATTATTTTGAAAACTTTCATAGATAGATAAACATTATTAAAAGCAAGAATGATCCGCAGGACAAGATCTACAAATACTTCAACATGACGGAATTTATCGGTGGATATTGAATGGAGTTTAATGATGATTTTTAAAGTGACCATTGTCGAAGATGTAGGTGAGCGACACAGGCTCATTAGAACCTCTAGCTTTATATACATTGGTAGATACCCACAAATTTGTAAGCACCTACATTATTATTATATCTGTTTACATTATCCCTGATACAGTAAATAGTTGTATGTTTAAGGAATGAGATGAAAGATTTTCATGAGATTCAATTATTTTTTTATTGTTCATCATGGATACGTTAAAATATTTTTATTAACACACCATGCCCATAGTTAAAAAAAAAGTAAACTAACAAAAATACCGAACTCCGAGAAAAACTCAAAACGAAAAGTCCCTAATCAAATGGCAAAATAAAAAGCTCAAACACATCAAACAAATGAATAACAACTGTCATATTCCTGACTTGGTACAGGCATTTTCTTATGTAGAAAATGGTGGATTAAACCTAGTTTTATAGATAGCTAAACCTCTCACTTGTATGAAGGTCGCATAAAATTCCATTATATTGACAACGATGTGTGAACAAAACAAACAGACATAATAGGTAAAAATGTCAAAAATAGGGGTACAGCAGTCAACATTGTGTTATAATCTTAATTACTTTAAAAACAAACAAATATGTCAACAAAGAAACACAAAAAGGCATACAGACACAGCACACCAGCAAAAACGAAAGGCAAGGATACAAAAATTCAACAACAACACAATGACGGGATTTATAAGTACCGAGCCCCGTCAAATGGACTTTACCGAAAGTTGACTAAATAGTAAAGGAAATATTCACAA